GGCCCCGCCCCCGCTTCGCCCCCTTCCCTCAGGACTCGACCCCACCCCACCCCACAGCGGAGCCGCAGGGACGGAGCGGGGACGGGAGGTACTGGGCTTACTGGTGCTGCTCCGGTTACTGGGGTTATTCGATTTACTGGGGTTACTGGAGTTACTAGAATTGCTGCATATGCTGGAAGTGACTGGAATTGCTGGAGTCACTGGTGTTACTGGCGTTACTGGGCTTACTGGAGCTGCTGGCATCACTGGTGTTGCTGGAGGTGACTGGAATTGCTGGTGTTACTGGTGGTGTTGCTGGAGTTGCTGGGGTTACTGGAGTTGCTGCTTGTGCTGGAAGTGACTGGAATTGCGGGGGGGTCCCCCCCCCTTTGGCCCCGCCCCCGCCACGCCCCCTTCCCTCAGGACTCGACCCCACCCCACCCCACAGCGGAGCCGCAGGGACGGAGCGGGGACGGGAGGTACTGGGCTTACTGGTGCTGCTCCGGTTACTGGGGTTATTCGATTTACTGGGGTTACTGGAGTTACTAGAATTGCTGCATATGCTGGAAGTGACTGGAATTGCTGGAGTCGCTGGTGTTACTGGAGTCGCTGGGGTTGCTGGAGTCGCTGGGGTTGCTGGAGTCACTGGAGTTACTGGAGTCACTGGGGTTACTGGATTTATTGGTGTTACTGGAGTTTCTAGAATTGCTGCATATGCTGGAAGTGACTGGACGTGCTGGAGTCATTGGTGTTACTGGTGTTACTGGTGTCACTGGGCTTACTGGAGCTGCTGGTGTCACTGGTGTTGCTGGAGGTGACTGGAACTGCTGGTGTTACTGGTGGTGTTGCTGGCGTTACAGGAGTTGCTGCTGGTGCTGGAAGTGACTGGAATTGCTGGAGTCACTGGTGTTACTGGGCTTACTGGGCTTACTGGAGCTGCTGGTGTCGCTGGTGTTGCTGGAGGTGACTGGAATTGCTGGAGTTGCTGGATTTACTGGTGTTACTGGAGGTGACTGGTGCTGCAGGTTGCTACTGGAGTTGCTGGAGACTGGGGGGTGACTGGAGTTACTGGGATTGCTGGTGCTACTGGAGTTATTGGTGTTACTGGAGACAGGGTGACTGGAGTTACTGGTGCTACTGGAGTTGTTGCTTGGGTTGCTGCTGTTACTGGTGTTATTGGCGCTGGAGGTGCTGGCATTTCTGATGTTACTGGAGACTGGGGATTACTGGAGTTACTGGTGCTGCTGGAGTTGCTGGAGAGTGAGGTTACTGGGGGGTTACTGGGGGGCTACTGGTGTCATTGGGGACTGGGGGGGATGAAGCTACTGAAGTTAGTGAGAACTGGGGGGTAACTGGGGAGGTTACTGGTGTTACTGGGTGCACTGGTGCCAGGGCCACACAAGGGTCTTGAGTAGGTGCCATGAGTCATGGTGTCTGTGTGTCCCCACAGGTGTCCATGTGTCCCCTGGGTGTCCGTGTGGCTGTCCGTGTGTCCCCGCTGGTGTCCCCATGGGTGTCTGTCCCCCCCATGATGTCCGTGTGTCCTCTGGATGTCCCCATGGGTGTCCCTGTGTCCCCTGGGTGCCCCTTCACGATGTCCTTGTGTCCCCTGGGTGTCCCCCAGGTGTCCGTGTGTCCCCGCTGATGTCCCCACAGGTGTCTGTCCCCCCCCATGATGTCCCTGTGTCCCCTGGGTGTCCCCTGGGTGTCCCCCATGGGTGTCCATGTCCTCCCCATGATGTCCGTGTGTCCCCTGGGTGTCCCCATGTCCCCTGGGTGCCCCTTCACAATGTCCGTGTGTCCCCTGGGTGTCCCCGTGGGTGTCCCTGTGTCCCCCGTGGGTGCCCCTTCACGATGTCCATGTGTCCCCTGGGTGTCCCCTGGGTGTTTGTGTCGGTGTCCGTGTGTCCCCCATAGGTGTCCCTGTGTCCCCTGGGTGCCCCTTCCTGATGTCCGGGTGTCCCCTGTGTGTCCCCACGGGTGTCCATGTGACCCCCATGATGTCCCCTGTGGGTGTCCATGTGTCCCCTGTGTATCCCCCACAGGTGCCCAGGTGTCCCCCAGGATGTCCCTCTGTCCCCTGTGTGTCCCCTATGATGCCCGTGTGTCCCTATGTGTCCCCACGGGTGTCTGTGTGTCCCCCATGGGTGTTCCTCTGTCCCCCGTGTGTCCCCTACGATGTCAGTGTGTCCTCTGGGTGTCCCTGTGGGTGTCCCCTACAATATCTCTGTGTCCCCATGATGTCCGTGTGTCCCTATGGGTGTCCATGCGTTCCTGTGGATGTCCCCTATCCATGTCCGGGTGTCCCCACGGGTGTCCCCTATGGGTGTCCGTGCGCCCCTGTGGATGTCCCCCATGGGTGTCCCCATGGGTGTCCCCACAGGTGCCATCCGTCCCCTCCTTGCAGGACCATGACCCCGGGGCTGCCCCTGCTGCTGCTGACGCTGGCACTGCGGGGGGGGGCGGGGACCCCGCCCGGGTCCCCCCCGGGTCCCCCCTGCGGGGCGGCGGCGCTGGTGGCCATCCTGGGGCGCCTGCGGGAGCTGGAGGGACAAGTGCGGGCGCTGCAGGGACAGTGTGGGGACAGCCAGGGACCCCAGGCCGGCACCGGTACGTGGGGGGATGTGGGGACATGGGGGGGATGTGGGGGGACATGTGGG